CCTTGGGAGACAATGTGGGATAGAGGAGATGAGGCAGGAAGAGAGAGAGAGAGGGGAAAAAAGGGATGGGCAATCATCTCCTAAACAGGGCTGTTCGGTTGTACACGGCAATCTTTTCCCATCAAGACAATAAGCAAAATGATTTAGCATGAAGTAGGAATCGGTATAGCTGTGAAGACTGAAGCAGATTTTAATACGCCAATGTCATTTAATTTTTTTTTCTGAGAACAAATAGCAGTTTGCCTGCTGTAATCAAAATGTAAACTGCTTACATGGCGCAAACTGCTGCCTTCCATCACTTAATATTTATTTAGTGTGAGTGGGAGGCTGCTGCTTTTGGCTCCTTGATAGGCTGACCAGAAAAGTTGGCCTGATTCAGAAGCATATTTATTGATCCAATGTGTAGGCTCAGGAGACCCCTATACCTTTTGCTTCCAAGTTATTGCTTTTTTCTTTCTTTGGAGATCTTCAGATACTGAGTAGATTCAAAGCTATTTAATCAAAATAGCTGCCTTATTTTACTCTAGAGATGGTTAGTAAAGCAATCCCTACATGTTACAAATGTCCCTCACAAAGATACGTTGTAAAGCTTAATTAACATTTGCAGAGTTATTTGTGGTCCTCAGATGAAGGGTAAAATTGAACAATGGTATCCTATTCCACAGTACCCAATAATACTGGTTTTAAAATGTCAGTGTAATCTTTTAATGCCCAGACACCTCCTAGACATCCCTACTATTTCCTGACAAATGTTCTGTGTGCAAAGCATTACCTGCTTATCAGTATTTAATTGAAATATAATACAGTAAACTCTCTGTAACCAGCACCTTACAAGCTGGCATGCTCTGTTAAACCGCATGCCGGCTTGTAAGGAAAAGTGAAACCGAAGTGCCCACTGTGGCACTTCTAGTTTCTCCGAGCCCTCACAGCCTGGGGCAAAGCAGCCTGCGCTGCTGAGCCCCCATGGCCCGGGGGGCATAAGAAGTTGTGCGGGGCTGTGCAGGGCCCACCTCCCTGTCCCACGGTGCTTGCAGGACATCTGGGGCTGCTCAATTAACTGGCATATTTTGTTATCTGGCATCCCCCATTCCCAGGGGATGCTGGATAACAGAGCTTTTACTGTAATTTTCTACATATTGGGTGCATCTACATATGCAATTATTGTGCCTGAATTTCCTGTGCAGAAAATTCAAACTCATTAAAGTGCTCCTCAGTGCATGTCTACACGTGCTCCCCAGGAGCAAATGAAGTCCCACAGGAGCAGCCCAGTCCAGGGCTGCTCCTGCCCTGCTCTGCCCCACAATAGCAGCCGTGGGGGGGCTCTAGGCTCCCCTGGGTTTGAGCCCTGGGCTAGCAGCAGGCATGGGGGCTTAGCCCAGAACTCTAGAGGGTGGGGCGAAGCTGTCCTAGCTCAGTGGACAGCTCTGTCCCAGCTGGGGGAGATCAGACTCACCCTGAGTGGGGTGGGAGGAGCTGTTCCGGCTGGGTGGACAACTACCTCCCAGCCACATGGAGAATGGCACCTGACCAGAGCTGCCTCCTTGCCCCCTCCTGATCTCCAGTGGTTGGCTGGCAGGCAGTGTCCTGCCAAGCTGGGACAGTTCTCCCTATCCCCTGTGGCCCCCTGCTGCCTAGGCTGATGGTGAGCAATTTGTTCCTGGTCTGTGTCTACTTGTGTGGTATGGTGCATTAGTTAACGTGCTGTTTTTCTAGTACCTATATCTATAAGTACTAGAAAATGGCACATTAGACTAATATACTGCATAATAATTACTGTGCATGTGTAGATGGTGATCCTTTACTGCGCATTAGATTAGTCTAATGTGCTATAAAACAGCTTGTGTAGATGCAACCATTGATTACTTGCATTTAAAACTGTAAAGCAATAAGGAAAAATATGTTTTTATATGTCAGAGATGCTCTTAAATACTTTCCCTAATCTTAATCCCAGCCTAGGACCCACTTCTGCAGTGAAATTATCATAAGGACTCACTTGCCTAGATTTCTTTGCAGGACCAGGCTGTTTAATTGAAGCCTCTCCATGCTGTGCATTATGTCCTTTGGTGCCGCATAGGGAGCATCTCACCTACTTCTAATGCTAAGAAATAAACATTCATTCACACAATTTTCACTCCCTGAAGGAGAACACCACTGTAACATTTTCTGATTTTTTTTTATTTTTATTTACAGTATGGGAACTCTGGAGGACCTCTTGTTAATTTGGTAAGTGTGGTTGCTTTCCTTCTTTTTTGCTTAAGAGAGTAGATCTGAACTGACAGTGTATTTTGTGTTCTCAGTGAAGGAGGACTCTCTCCCCACATCTTTTATAATGAAAGTGGCACATTTTCAAGCAAAATGACTAACAACTCAATTGTCAAATAGTGGCACATATATATTTTCCTGTAAAAGAAACACATACATGCCCAATATGCCTAGAAAAATTCCCCTTTCCAATGCAAGTCAGGTAGGTGGGAACCCAAATGTTATGCAGATAGGCATTTATCGGGCGTGTTTGGAACATAGATTTGCTGTTTGAATATGAGTGTGCATTCTTTGCCGGTAGAATTTAAGTATTACTGTCTGAATAATTGCCACTAGAGACAAGAGAAACATCTTGATATCAAGGGAAGAATCATTTGGGGTATCTTTCTTAGCACCCTTGAAATCTATGATACGAGGAGACACTATCGTCCTCAAAAGAAGTATTCTACTTCTTCAGAGAATGACTGGTTTTCATAAACTGATCTACATTTGCTCTCTTGAGAAGTAAATCTGTGGCATTACAATTTAGGGAAATGGATTAATTTTTAAATCCATTAGGAACAATGTAATTAGCTCTCTTCTATCCACAGGATGGTGAAGTGATTGGAATAAACACTCTAAAGGTTACTGCCGGAATTTCCTTTGCTATTCCTTCAGATCGCATCACTCGGTTCCTCACAGAGTCGCACGACAAACAAAATAAAGGTAAATTCTAACAGAAACTACCATCATAAATGATACTAAAAATATCCTTAGGAGTTTGGTTTGTGTTATTCAGAAAAGAAGTCCAGTAGCTGAGCACAGTACTCTTAATTTCTCCTGTATTTATCTGGCCACATGATCATATTATCCGAGCACCTCAGAATATTTACTATACCTTTCCCACCATATCTCCTAGTAGTATGTATTATTTCCAAATTACAGATGAAAAACTGAGGCACTAAAAACAGACTAAGGGCTAGATCTCATAAATGCCATAAGCATCCAGAATTTGGGTACAGCATCACCAGCTTTTAGGCATCTGGCCCCTAGAGCGGAATCCAGAAGCCTGTGTAATTTGCCCAGGCTTCCTAAACAGTGCACAGGAAGCAGAATCCAAAGCACCGAGGTAGAGCTGCTTGTAGTCACAGTGTAGATGCCTAGACCTAGCCAGGCAAGAAACACTGAATACAGGGTCTTTACTCTTGCCTCTTAGATACCCTGTTGAGGAATCTCTGATTACATAGTACCCTTGGGTGTCTATACACATGCATCTGGAATTACAGTGTGATGGGGCATGGTAATAGATTAATCGAATCTGATGGAGCGTGGTAATTACCGTGCTCCAGTAGACTCGAACGTTGCATGTATCACTGTCCCCACACTGAAAAATGGTGGTGGGGGCATTTTAACTAAAGCTCATTTGACAGGCTTTATCTAAAGCACCCCTGCCACCATTTTTCAGCACAGGGAAGCTGATACATGTGATGTGCTGGGTACTTTACTTAGAGCGGCTCTTGGAGCCACTCTAATTAAAGCGCCACTGCCTCCTGAAGCATGTGTAGAAACACCCCTTTATATCCATAGCCCTGAAATATCTTTGGAGAGTAGATGCCCATGATCTTCTTTGTAAGATTGGACAGAGTTCATCCTTTTGTTTTAGAGTATGGCCAGAGGAGGAGCTGCTGCCCTTTTACCTAGTCTAATGGGAAGCAGTTTCTCTGGATGCTTACCTGCTCTGCCCACTAGGTCTACTGGGCAGAGTACTTACCCAGGCAGTGGGAAATCTGTGTTTAATTCCTTTCTCTGCCTGAGATGATTGGAAGACACAACACATGGCTGCCAAGAGAGTGCCCCAATTATCTGATAACAGGCTATTCTGGAGAAGGTGCCCACTTACTCTCCATTTAGAGCTGTGCCACTGTGAACAAAGGTATTTAAGATTCATTGGGCTAGAGCCATGGTTCTCAACTTTTTCAGACTTGAGATGTCCCTGGATAGAGACATGGTATCTCTCAGAAAATGCCAGCTCTTTTGTCACTACAGAAAAATAATAGAGCAATTTTTCTGTTGCAAAGAACTCAGATAAACCACAGCTATGGATTTCTATTTGAATCTCTGGGTTTATTTTGTGAATCAAGTTTGCATCTGTGACATTATGTTGCCCCACATCACCCTTAAAAGTAACCTGAGGTATCCCAGGGTGTCATGGCTAGAGAGCGGGAGCAAGATGGAGTATAACTCAGTAGCCCGGTGATTAGGGCAGAAAAGGATGTCTTGCATTGTGGTCCATGTTGTAATGGCTGCTTATGTAAAATGCAGCACTAGGAGCAAAACCCTGCTCTCATCATCACTCATGTACCCAATCACAGGGCTATAGCATCACACACCTTTTTCTCTGGCCCCATGAATCTTGCATTCATTTCTGCATAGTGGCAGGTGTAGGGTGCTTGCACCTAAAACAGCCTATAGTCAGATGGCTAAGGCACTCTCACAGCAATTAAGTGACAGAGGTTTCAATCTCACAAGCCCATGGCAGACACTAAACTCAGCTCTCCTATGTGCTGAAAAAGGGCTGTAGCCACCAAGTTCCTGCCTAAAAGGGTGGTGTCAGGGTCATCATTATTACAGTGTCATTTACTCTTGAGAAGGAAAGAATAATTGCTTCTCTATTTTTGAAATGAGGGTTTTAGGCACCTAAGTACAGATGAGCATTGTGTGGCTCCCTGTCACCCTAGTCTGTGACAGTCTCTGACTCCAGCCAGCATGCAGCCTTGTGAGGGGGCGGGCGGGCGAGGGGGCGTTCTGTCTCTGCAGTTGGCCTGGTTCTGGTGCCAGCAAAGGGGGCTGCAGGTGAAGGGCTCCCTCTCTGGGGTCTCTCCCCCTGTAGCAGCCCCTTCTAGGCCATGCTACAGTGCAGCCTGTGTGGGGGGGGGATGTGGGGAGAGGGGTCCAGGTCTCTCCTCCCCCTGCAGCAGCCCCAGCCAGGTGGGGAAGGATTCTGGGGTCTCTCCCCCTCCCAGCTGCTGCTGACTGTCATGAGCTGGGCGGGGTGGGGTGCAGGACTGCAGAGAGGGTGGTGTGCAGGAGCACTCCAGTGGCTACTGTAAGGAGGCTTTAGGCCCCCCACTGACCAGCAAACATCTGTTTAGTTTCCTCGTGCTCTAACTTATAGTGTTTTAGGTAAAGCACAATAGTTAAGGCACTTCTTTCAGGGGCTTTCTGAACATCTGTATTTAGCTCTTCAGTCTCAGGCTGGAACTTGACTCACTGCTTCATCCTTCCCTAATGTTACATTACTGTACTGTACACTAGTATATAGCACCATGCCAGATATAACGCTGAGGAATGACAAAATAAATAGAAACCCTTTTATCCTGAGGTATCCTAAAACACGTTATAAATTATATCCTTGTGGTCAAAGGTCCTCCTGAGCCTAGTGGCCCACAGGGCTTGTGTGGTTAAGGCGCACCAGGTTCTGTAGCCAATAGCACACAAGAGAGCAATGTGGCTACTTTGTGTCTGTTTGCCTTTGATTTCCAGGCCAAATGACAAAGAGCCCATTTAAAACTGGATTGAATGGAGCTGGGCTTAAATTCATGTCTCTGGAGCTACTGCTCTAACCCTTATAACCATGTGTTACTAGATAATAATGTCATTATAATACCTGGAGGAATGAACCATTATTTTTATATTTACTTTTACTAGCACCCAGAAGTGACCAACCAACTACAGAACTATAAGAGGAAAGGGAAACTTTGGCCAAAAATCACTGAAGTGCTCATTAAAAATACAACAGCTTTAATATGCCCGTTGACAGAATTGACAGAAGTTAGGCTCATAGCTATATGAATAATTTAGCATACATAATTAATGAATTGGAATGAGCTGGAATTGGAATAAATAAAATACATTTAAGTCAGAGAAATGGTTTAGGTTTTATAAGAACAATGTAGGAAGGATGTATCTGTATTTCAACTGTAATTTATCTATTTCATTAAGTGCTTGAATATGCATTTGGTAATATGGTGGACTGAGAAGATACAGCTCTGATCCATTCTTCTGTATGGACTTCTGGGTGCCACCAAACTGTGGCTTCTTTTGATGTCTAAGCTGTTTGGGATAAATCGGAGGCAGGCCACACACAGCTGAGGCAAGCAGTTTTGGCTGACAGCCTGAGAGAGCTCATTATATTTAAAGACTAGGGGTTTGAAGGCGATTTCTTGGAAGAAACAGTGAGTTCTATTGTTTGTAAACTGAGAGACCCAAAGAATAGACATACATTAGATCTTATACATTAGAACTTATACATTAGATGACGAAGGGTGGTCTCTGCGATAGATGAGAATTGTAGATGAATTAGTTCACCCCGAGATATGTTTAGGAATAGATTATGCAAGGAGGCTTTCCCTTCTCTTTTGTATCTTGAAGAAATGAAAAGAGTGCACCAAGAGAGGAAGTGACTGTGGAGAATAAGATGTAGACTGCTTTTCTCCCCCATTTGCATCCATTTTAAAAATGCTTTTGCTGCAGAGTCTACAAAGGATGATAGGGATGATCCAAACCATTGTGATGTTATGTACCATAGCGGGTAGCAATCTTATCTTGTTTTCACTGCTGTCCTTCATCTGTGTATGCTCTTGGTTTACTGACCCTCGCTTATGGCATCATTCCAAAGTTAGATGGTACATTCAGCCAAGCAGGGACCATTTCTTTACTTGTTTTACCTCGCGCATTTTCCTTGGAAATGGAGCTGTTTTTAAAGGTATTTAAAAAAATTCTTGCTATTGCAAAGTCCAGAAGGACCGATCTTATTTCAGCAGATATAGACATGATGCTATGGAATGTGTTTGCATTTTTTGGCATGTAGGAATATTTTTCAAGTTTCATATACTTTTGATTATGGCTTTACTTCAGTTGTTTAACTTTGATTTACCCTCAAAATCTTGCTATAATTAAATCAAAGGAAATAAGAATCGGGGTGTTTTCATTCTATTGTGACTTGTCGAAAGATGACAGAGACACAAATCCTAAGAGACTTCACAGATTAATTTGAGGAGGAGGTCTCTTTAGAGGAGACATCCATGGTAGTATTTTATGAGTTTGACCACAGCCTTTTTAAATCTCAGTTTTAGCAGGTCTATATACTGAGTGAAGATTCATGAAGTAGTCAGAGTGAATTATTACAAATAAATACATAATCTACTAACATGAAGAATCAAAAATGTTTATTTAATTAGTCATGAGGAATATTTGAATGAATTGTCAAACTGGAGGGTATTAATGATAATATTTGATTTATTACCTTGATAATAACAACAGCTTTCTTCTATAGTTAGTTAATTATTCAAAACTTTGTAAAACTGTTAACTAGCCTTGAATACTTGAGTAACTTTGGTAAAATCATTCCTATTTTATAAATAGGGAAAATAGAGATGGAAAGCTACCAATTGCAAACTCAGGTGGTTAAAAGTTACCACCGTAACCCATCTTAATCCATATTTAAACATCTGATCAGCAATCGTGAAACCAGTTACTTTCTTAGTTGACTCTCTTTAGGAAACCAAGGCCGCCTATAGAGGTGCTTGTTTGAGTTCTAATTAGACTGCATCGGAGCAGGCTTGATTAATCGAGTCTGCTCCACATTCTAATTGGAATATTCCAGCTTTGCCTCACCGCCATGTGTATTAAGCCCACCCACATTTCAAAATGGATACAGCAGCACT